TTATGGTACTACTCTTAATACTGCTACTACCACGATATTGATACCAATTCAACCACTGCTTTTGCACATCCAACTGCTACTACTTCTACTACTGCTGCGAATACTACTACTGCTATTAACACTAAAACTACTCGCAATGCTGATTCGACTACTACGGTTTCTACTAATTCTTATACCTCTAATAGTACCAACAATGCTGCTACCTCTACAAATACTAATACAACTACTGCAGCCCCTAGTGCTAGTATTACTATTAATTCTACCACCAATTTTACTAGCATCTCTACTAGTAGTAATGTTTATAATAATACTATTGTTATTATTACTACTACTACTTGTACAGATACAAGTGAAACTTTTGCTATTCTTTATACTGCTCATGATTCTGTTATTTTTAGTACCATACCTACTGCTAATTATAATACTATTTCTACAAGATATAATGCTGCTGCTTCTACTAATGTTACATTTCTCAATAATACTATTACTAGTAAAATTACCATCACTGCTTCAGCTGTTAATACTGCTAGTTCTACTTCCTCTGCCACTGCTATGTCTTCTTAAACTACTACTAAAACTACTATTACTAGCATGGATATTACTGGTACTATAATGTCTAATAATATTTCTACTAATACACAGTTTATTATTACTGCTACTACTACTAATAATGCGACTACTGCTGCTACTACTACCACTGCTAATTCTAAAATAGCAATTACTTCTACTAGTTCTACTAACAGTTCTACTTCTACTACTAATACTAATCTTACACGTGCTTCTTGTACTTTCACTTTTACTACTAATGATACCGATCCTGATACTGCTACTACTAATACTACCGCTTCTGCTGCTCCTGTTGCTGCTGCTGCTGTTGCTGCTGCTTCTACTACTACCGCTTCTATTTATTTAAATACTACTTGTACCACTTTTAATTATATCTCTACCGATTTTCCTACTACTGCTGCTTTTACTATAAATATTACCACTGCCAATATTAATATTACTAATTCTACTACCATTACTATAATACTACTACCACCTCTGCTTCTACTACTACTGCTAGTTCTAATTTTTATGTTACTTCTACCACGTCTACTACTACTAGTTCTATATGTTCTATTTCTTCAGCATATATTAATACTAATACTAATACTTCTACGACTATTACTAATTCAAACTATTTTCACTGCCACTTCCACTACCCATTCTACTGCTACTTATTTAACTCTTACTACTAGTACTACTTCTCCTTCTACTTCTGCCACACCGCTATTACTACTGCTACTACTACAATTACTGCCACTACAAATAATAATACTATTACTTCTACTACCACTTCTACTACTTAACCGCTCTTGCTGCCGCTAGTTCTGCCATTTGTTCTCCTATCATAACCTTTGCGGCTCTTGCTAATACCCCTGCTACTACTGCTACTACTACTACTAAAACTAATATTGCGACTGCTATTAGTGCCACTATTACAATCCATGCTACTGCTACCATTTGTCTACTAATAAGACTATAACAACTACTAATAATACTACTGCAACAATGCTACTACCAGTACTGTAAATACTACTACTACTACTGATACTATTTCTACAACAACAACAGCTACTTCTACTGCAACTAAACTACTGATGCCAATTTTTTTACTGCTGCTGCTACTAATGCCACTACCAAAAATACCTCTATTTTTATTACTATTAATTCTATTAATATTGTTTCTGTTACTACCCCTGCTATTACTACTACTTCTACTTTTACTAATATTTGTTTTGTTCCTACGACTAATAATTCTAGCAATGACACTGCTACTTCTATTAATAATACCGTTGCTAATGCTACTACTACTGCTACCATTAATACTTATTCTACTACGAATGCTACCACTGCTACTACCACTAATGTCACTACTAATAGTAATTCTGTTACTGCAGCTACCACTTTTACTTCTAAGCTAATACTCCTTATACTTCTCCTAATTCTACAACCACTACTAATACTACTCCTGCAACTGCTACTAATCCTACCGCATAATATTAATGTTACCGTTGCTTCTGATAAAGCTATTACTTGTACTGCTACCAATACCACTACTCCTACTAATATTACTACTACATCTTCCACTATTTCACAATATGTATTGCTTTTACTAAGGCTGTTACCACTAACATCCCATTGCGTCTGCTATTACAAATTCTAATACTAATATAACTAGCCCTGCTGCTGATGCTAATAATAGGACTACTCCCAATGCTTACACTACTACTACTACTGATAATAATAATAATTCTATTACTAATATTCTACCAGTAATACTACCAATACTACTGCCGCTAATATTGATATTACTATTACTTCTCCCATTACCCTTGCCTGTACTATGACTGTTTCTATGACTGTACTTTGACTAATACCACTGACTCTGCTACTACTGTTCCTAGTAATACTCCTATTATTACTATTACCAACACGAATACTACTTTTAAAGCTACTACTACCACCGCTACTGCCGCTGCAGCTGTTACTGTTACCTCCGCTAATTCTTTTATTGCTAATATTTCTGCTGCTACTAACTTTACTACTATAATTTCTGCCAATAACATTACTGCTGATCATGCTTCTACTACTACTCAAACTAATGCAAATACTACTGTTATTACTACTTCTGCTAATGCTACTATTACTACTACTACTACTACTACTACTAACACTTCTTCTACCACTGCCATTAATAATTACATTGTTACTACTAGCACTACTATTTGTGCTAATAATGCTACCACTACAACTGCCACTACTACTAGTATTACTTCTAATACGTATATTTCTGCTTCTGCCACTAATTATACTAGTATTAAAGTTACCTCTACCACTGCCATTGTTTCTTCTAGTACTACTACCAGTTCTACTACTCCATCTACTACTACAACATCAACTACTACTTCCTCTGCTATTACGATTTCGACGTCTACATATATTACTTAGACTACTACTACTTCTACAACTGCAACTGATACCACCACTGCTGCTAGCTCTACAACCCTCTTAATCAATGTAACACTGTATGCTGAGAACAGGAGAGGAAACATCCAAGACTTACTTGCGTCCGGTTGCGCGAAATCAAACATGACACAAGAGAGCCAGAAATCGCGAAACAGCTTATGCAGCCTGGTAGTCGGACCTCGGATGGGAAGAAGCCTGTGGAGAAGCTACGGGCAAGGGGGTAAAGCAAACCAACGGCTTGAACGGAAAAAGGTTAAACAACTGCCAAGCTTTGCAAAAGAGTAATTAGAGTTTGTACAAGAAGAATTTGACTCCTAGAACGCATATGAGCACGAGAGTAACAAGACCGACTGTATGTCTGCTCCTGGACCAAAGTAGGCAAGGAGTACAAGTAATCCAGCGAAAATGCAAATTACAGCTAAGTAGAGGAGGAGAACGAGACTCGGCCGCCGGAAGAATAACTTTACTCGGCTAACGTAACAGACGCACACTCGAACAGGGAGGGTTAGCAGATGCATATGGGTTACAGCCAATTCGACAGAACCCTATTACATCCTCGACTTCGAGGAAGTCAACACACGCCTTACAACCGTGTGAAGTGCGAGCTCGTTTGGGTTATGCTTCTTCGTCAGTAAGACCGATAATCTGGAGGGGGGAAGTGGTCACGCGGAGCGCGTGCAGAGCGCCCCTCTACCACCGTATATACCCGATCGCAACCGAGAGGACAAAGAGCCCGTAGATCAGTGGTTAGTCGCGTGATGCTTCTAACCAACAGGTCATAGGATTGAGTCCCACATTTTGGGGTTGGGTGCGGCTGGCTGACGACGGCTTGTGAGCTGGAAATGGCCATTCAAGTCTCCCTTGTCATTGTCGGTAATGCTATTTTGTCTATATCACGCGCCGCTGAGCGGCTGCTGGTGGTAATCGAGAGAGAGAGAGCTAATAATTCTCCTGCGATTACTACTAATCCTACCTCTACTACTACTACTACTACTATTACTACTACTTCCTCCTGGTGCTGCTGCTACTACTCTATCTACTACCGCTACTACAACTACTACTATTTCTACCATTGCTCTCAGTTCTGCAAATGCTTCTACTGCTAATATATAGACTGCTAATAATATTACTACTCCTACTACTTCTTTTCCTATTACTACTACTACTACCAACACAGCTGCTTCTATTTCTACTACTAATACTACTGGCACTACTGCCAATGCTACAACTTCCACTAGCATTATTAACACTGCTGCTTTTGTACTACAAAAATTAATACTAATATTTCTACCTCTACTACTACCTCTACCAGCAAAACTGCTAACTATACCACTGATGATACTTTTGCTATTACTGCCCGATATATTTTATTAATTCCAATACTGCTACAACCACTGATAATACTAATACTACTACTACTACGCTAACTATACCACTGATGATACTTTTGCTATTACTGCCCGATATATTTTATTAATTCCAATACTGCTACAACCACTGATAATACTAATACTACTACTACTACTACTGATATTACTGCTATTACTACAGCTGTTACCATCGCTGCTACTGCTGCTGCTGCTGCTGCTGCTGCTGCTGCTGCTGCTGCTGCTGCTGCTGCTGCTGCTGCTGCTGCTGCTGCTGCTGCTGCTGCTGCTGCTGCTGCTGCTGCTGCTGCTGCTGCTGCTGCTGCTGCTGCTGCTGCTGCTGCTGCTGCTGCTGCTGCTGCTGATTATACTACTGCTGCTTCCACTTCTACATCTTATAGTACGTCTATATCTTCTGCTTCTACTATTACTACTACCAATATTACTACTTGTACTATAATCACATGCACTACTACCGCTAAAACTACGTCTACTTCTACTATTAACACTGTTACAACTCCTACTATTAATAAGACTACTTCTATTAGTATTACGACTACGTCTTCTCCTACTGCAAGGTGAACTCCTACTATTACCACCACTGCAATTATATTCACCACTTCTACTACTGCTACTATTAAGGCTTCCACTGCTAACAATGCTACTATTGCTACTACTACTATCATTACCACTATTGCTAACACTGCTACCAACGAGAATAATGTTTTTCTTCTACAACACGGCAAACCAACGGAGAGAAAAACTTGACAATCTACAAAGACCAGATTGTCAAACGACATTCCGCTCCCCTTTGGATCAAGCCGATCCGAATGACTGCACAGCTACCCCGGTAGCCCGTGTCGGGTTTGAAAACAAATCTCGCATGAACTCGAAACTCATATTCATGTATACCAACGCGCAAGGTGTACTTTCTAAACTGGACGAACTCCGTATCCATACCTACGACCTCCATCCAGATGTTATCTCAATAACAGAAACATGGTTGTCCGAACAGGTTGATGATAGAGAGCTCATGCTCCCTGGGTATCAACTGTTCCGCCGAGACAGAGAAAACAGAAGGGGCGGAGGCCTAGTAAAATTTGTTAAGAATGGCTTGCAAGTTTCAGAAAAAACTGCCCGAATGACTTGTAGTACCGAAGCATTATGGCTGACCATAAGGGCACCGGGCTCTCAAAGTCTCGATATCTTGACAGTATATCGCTTCCCGAGAAATGACCCTGACGCTGATGCCCAACTGCTGGAGGAGCTCAGATTATTTTCAACGCGGCCGACTACTCTCATCGTTGGAGATTTTAATGCACCTCACATCGGCTGGAGCGCGGCCTCAGCCGACTGCTCTGAAGCAGCATTTGACCAGCAGCTACTGCGTACCTCCGACAACCTGCTTCTCACACAACACGTAATGTTTCCAACTAGAGTTCGAGAGGGCCAACAGATGAACTGCCTCGATCTTGTGTTCACCAAGTCGTCTGACAACATCGACGTTGTGAATTGCCTCCCCCCGTTGGGTCAGAGTGACCATGTAGTTCTCATGTGGGAATACACGTTATTCTCCCTTCCTACACAACCGCTCGATTCCCGACCTAATATTTGGCGCGGCGATTTCGAACAGATGAAAAAGGATCTTAGTCCTATCGACTGGGCATCCACTCTCTCCGGCGATGTAGAAGAGGCTTGGTGTCAGTTCAAAGAGTTAGTCCACAACCTCATCTCCAACCACTGCCCAATCATGCGCAGAAGACTAACAAATAGACCTCGCTGGTTGACTCCGTCCTTAAAGAAGGAAGTTAACAAGAAGAGGAAGCTATGGAAAAGATCACTGACGGATCGCACGCCAGAATCCTTAAGCAATTATAAGTTACAGAGAAATAGGGTCAAAATTATCCTCGCCAGAGATAGGAAAGCTTTTAAAACGAATCTTTTGAACCGTGCCATGATTAATCCAAAAATCCTTTACAGCTACATAAGACAGAGCACACGGAACAAGGATCCTGTCCCACTGCTGCGAACGGCTGAGGATGTGGAAATCTCCGATGACAAGGATAAGGCTGAACATCTCTCTCAGTTCTTCCGGTCAGTCGTGACATGTGAACCTGCTTTTTCCTCACCCGCTTATGAAGACGAAGAAACACCTACCCTCGAAGCCGTCTTCTTCACCGAAACAATTGTTCGGAACGAGTTACTAAACCTAAAAGAATCGACCTCCCCAGGTCCTGATGCAATCCCGGCCAAGCTGCTGAAGGAACTAGCTTCCGAAATGTCCAAGCCGTTAGCCTTGATCTTTCAAACTTCATTTGTTACTGGATGCCTGCCCTCTGACTGTAAGTCCGCTACCATCACTCCGCTTTTTAAGGGTGGAAGTCGTGCGTCTGCGAATAACTACAGGCCAGTGAGTCTTACCTCCATCTGTTGCAAAATCATGGAGAATATCATTAAGAAGACCTTGGTGCAGCTCCTCGAGCAGTACCATATCCTTTCGGATGCCCAACACGGCTTTCGAAGTGGTAGGTCCTGCCTCACGAATCTGCTCTTTACGCTCGAATGCTGGACCAAAGCACGTGATGAAGGCAAGGTGGTGCACGCCATCTACATCGACTTCAAAAAGGCTTTCGACAGCGTTTCTCATCAACGTCTCCTGTACAAACTGCGCAACACTGGAATTCGTGGACGCCTTCTTGTATGGATCCAGAGCTTTTTGGCTGGACGGTCCCAAAGAGTGCAGGTCGGGCGTCAACAGTCCTCAGATGTAAGCGTGGTAAGTGGCGTCCCACAGGACTCAGTCTTAGGTTCCACGTTATTTCTCGTTTTCATAAATGACTGCGTCAAGGACCTAGACTGTGATGCCATCCTGTTTGCCGACGACATTAAATTGTGGAAGGCTGTTCACAATGCGGCAGACGCAGACCACCTGCAAGCAAACCAGAACAGGCTCGAAGACTGGTCGAAGCGCTGGCTTATGCCCTTCAATATAAGCAAGTGTAACTTTCTTCAACTCGGCGGCTTCAGAGCCCCCAGCCCCAGGACCTACTTTCTGCACGGCACACCACTGCAACAGGTTGACAGTCCGAAGGTCCTGGGTGTATGGATTACATCTTCACTCAAACCAACACTGCACTGCGCGAAGGCGGCTAAATCGGCTACGGCCACATTGCAACTCATTAGGCGAGCATTTATGGGATTTGACCCTGACTGCTTTTCAAAAATATTTGGCACCTCATCTAGAATACGCCATACAGGCGTGGAGACCCTGGACTGCCAAGGATTATACCGTCTTGGAGAAGGTCCAGAGACGGGCGACCAAAATAACACAAGGTCTGGGAGCACTGCCCTATGAAACCACACTGTCAATCCTCAACCTGTTTCCCCTTTCCTACAGGCAATTACGTGGTGACCTTATACCAACATTTCGCATCATCAACGGCCTAGACTGTTGTTTAGATCCCACTGATTATTTCACCCAAGCTAACACGCCCACTTTGCGCGGTCATCCCCTAAAACTACGCGCAGGGAAATCAAGAACCAATGGACGAAAGTCCTTTTTCAGTAACAGAGTGGTTGCAGCCTGGAATGCCCTACCTACCGATGTTGTAACTTCCTCCTGTGTGAACTCCTTCAAGTGTAAACTTGACCTGCATCAAGCTTCCCAATTACCACCCCCACATCAACTCACATAACCCGGTACCGTCTTATATGTGTTTATACTACTTGTAATTAGTAAGTAACCGTTAATGATTACTCTTTTTCGGCTAGCTGCCAGCTGTCCGCGAGTATGTACAAAATACCTTTTTCACCTTCCCATTTATCAATGTTTTTCTCCGACGACTTGTAACCAAGAGGGAATTCAAAGGCGCTTGCCTATATTTCCCTTAATAAACTGATACTAATACTACTACTACAACAACTGAGAACATTACTGCAATTACTACTACCTCGACTACCACTACTCCTACTACTATTACTGTCACTACTAAAACTAATACTACTACTATTGACCTCCTACTACTAATGCTACTACTACCACTACTACTACTACTATTACTACTACTACAATTACCGATGATGCTGCGCATACTAAACATCCTATTCGTACGGGTGGTAACGCTTGTACTGTTGATAATATTACTACTACTATTATAAATTCTAGTACTTCTTCTACTAATA